AGAGGTTACGTGTATCAGTAACAGATTGCTAAAACTCACCGTTTCTACTTGAAATACTAATGCTAATTTTGTGAACAATTTATGATATTAGTTGACCCGTGATCTGCATTTAAGCACAAAGCAGTTACTCACTATTTACTGGGAGAAAAATTGTATTAGCACGAGACCGAGTGCGTTTTTACAGTCGACGCTCGTGGCCAGCAATAACCAGAGTGATTATTTCCTACTGTTTTTGTTTCGCTGGAATCGGTCGGACAGCAGCTCCAAGGAAATGCTGTTCACGATAGCTACATATAATATACGGACCGGCTACTCGCTGTTGTAGCCTGATTAACTGATCAGCTCCTATGGGCAACGACAACAAGGCTATCACGAATATGTACTGAGCAAACTGTTACAATAGGAATCTGTCAGATGCTGGTATCTATCGGATCAGCCAACTGAGCGGGTGCGGCCCCGCACTTTCTTTAGACGATAACGTTGTTCGTTCTCCTACCCGTGGCTTGTATTGATCGCTAGGAAAGAAAGGGCGATACGGCAAGTCGGTTGATGTGAACGTTAACGGTACTTTTCAACTGGCAGCATTAATCAATCGATCTGCTCATTCCGGCAGGTGAAACACGTCCTCACTTCTTAAACTTCGGAAACAAGTTTTTATTGCGCCGAGCCCGGTATCACAACGCGGTATCACAACGATAAAACTAACACGTTGTGAGGGGAAATATTTTCAGAAAGTCGACGGAGTTGGCGGGGACACGATAGTCGCACGCGGCTCCACATGGCCAGAAAGGCAGTGGAGTCATCTGGACTCTGACATCAACTGGCACCAATGCCGCTGTGCAATGGCGGTGAGAAAACGCGCCAATTGCTAGGCCAGCCATTGTCGAGCTGGGAAGCCGTTCCGGAAGCGTGTACGATTCCACAAGCCAAATTACAATAGTGTATCCCAGATGAAATTGTCCTTGCTGCTAATAGTCACTTTTTGATCGACGGATTTCAGCTTCGGCTAGGTTTGATTTTGGAAAAGTTAGTCTGCTCATTCGTATCCCATCTTTCGAATTTCTGCGTCGTAATCTTTGAAAAGAGTGAAAAGAAGTGCAGTTAGCATCTGACGCCGCACACACACTGCAGCTGGAAACGTACTGTACATCTGTGATTTATACAGACAGATATACGTATACAGAAACATACTACAAGAAGGGCAACCATAGAGCTATAGATATAATGATGCTTCGTTGAAATGTCTGTTCCTGCTATGTCCTTCACTGTTTTGGTGGCGATGGACTGTCTCTAACTTTTCGATGAAAATCCTACCTTTTTTGCTTGACATGTCAACTAAATCATTGGCGTTTCCGTACCGCAAGCAACTCGGTATGATCTAATCAATCTTCTTTTCGGGTACTCCGATACTTACCAGTGTTTGCTAGTGGTCGTGTCGCCGACATCGGCCTTGCTTCGAATAATGCTCCACCTGAGGATAATTACTCGATGGTCGGTCGAGGTGACGTTATTATCGCTATCCCATGGCCTCTTTCACCCCAAGGTCCCACCAGCGGCGGCAGTTGATGCTGCCTGCCGCTGGCGTACGACTCGAAAGGGTAGCAGACGCACACCAGCGCTGCGAATTACCTCCACTGTTGCTATTTATCGACGTATTTTCATTTCTTTCGCCTGAATTCTAGTATTCGCTAGTTATAGCAAGCTTCGATTGACAGTTGAAATACGCTAGTAGATATATATATAGAGATACATATAAGCTTGATACTCCGATTTTCTTCGGTGGAATAGGATACGAAAGGGCTAAGGTTTGATACTATGTACTTCATTCGTATCACAGATATGTGCACGTTTTATGGAACTTAAACATATGCGAAATTTGAATAACATTTACCGCCCTTCCTGCTTGCTTACAGTTAGGCACAGACAATACAGGGAAATATTTTATACAAACCCAGTTACTGGATGGTACTGTTGGTAAAGACTGTGTCTCTGCTGCAATTTCATAAGCGGGAAGAGCACAAGACCTAGTATCGCAAAGAAGACATTCACGTGGAAACGCTCGTCTTCTATAGATCTGCATAGCATCTCAGAAAGTGGCAAGGTTATGAGGCCCAGTATATGGCAGGTAACAAAATCGACCCAAGTACCTCATAGCTCATGTGAGCCCCGACATCTATATTAATTTGCAATAACCACGTTCCAAGCATGCAGAATAGATGCGAAAGGTTCGGACTGCATTTACTACTGCGCCAATACGCTGCCTATTCATTGATGCATTGGATGGAATATCCAAAAAAATAGCAATGGCCGATCGGCGAAACGATTGCCGCTACAAGCCAAAGGTACCCATTTGATCATTTCTGCCCGTCCTGTCAATTGATTTCTCGAGTTAATTCAATTAACTATTACGAGAACTTCGCAAGCCAGTAGCGGGTCAATGTGTGAGTGTGTTCCTAATATCAAAGCAAGTATATAATTTCTTACTGTGATAATAGTAAGAGTTGGGACAGAAACCCATTACTGGGACAGAAAAATACCGACCAAGAGCATGACAGCGTGGGAGTCATACGTCTGTGGTTGCAAAGTGCTGTGAATATTGCATAGTTTCTGATTGGCTGGCTGTATAGCGTCGCTTTTGCTAACGTAATACAAGCAGCATGACTACCTTAGCTGAACGTCTAATACCATACGTAGTTTCGAATAGTATGTTCAGACAGAGTTACCCCTTACATTTCATTTACACTATCCATCATGCAGTTCAGCTCAACTTGTCAGCTTTTTGCGTAGATCGTTATGATGAGTAGGCCCAGTTAGTAAGCAAGTGATAGAAGGGCGATTATTGGCTAGACCGATACGACCTCGTTGTTGACGATAAATTAATGGCTCCCTATTGTTTTAAGAATACCAGTATTGTTGGCCAAGCTGGACACTAGGTAAGAAAGTAAGTCAACTGGAAACGACAGATAGTGGCATGGACTACTCAAAAAGGCCTCTCTCGTTCTTTGTTGCTGGTTTACTTATCGTCGACATCGCCTTCAAAGCTACGTCCCTGCTACTTGATCTTCGGAAGGCTTCGGCCTTCTTCAGAATTTTTTTCGTTGTCCTACTTTTCCTCTTTTGTCCGGTTCCACTGTTCGGCCATTTGTTATTCTCCGTTCGCGCGTGAGGAACGCGTTCCCTTTAGATCATAAGTCTAATCCAGGACCTAGTCTCCGCTTAGCGGTTGAGTGATCGAGCAGCTTTTTTCAAGTTGCTTGTTGGCTGTTTGGGACTTCTTCTTTGGCGACCTCCTTTCGAACGCCAGCCCTTCAGATTGACCAAAGCGGCTACAGAACAAGCAGAAGAATCGAGCATACGAAAGCGAAGGAAAAACGAAAATGGTTAAGGTTTTGGGAAATATATAGGAAAGCCACCTAGGGAAATTGACTAATGCGCCGCAGAGTGAAATAATAAGAAGGGGTAGGGACCAAAGTCGCCGTTTTGACTCCTGAAATAATCGAGTCTTCCCACGAGAGAGAAATTTCCGCTTGACGATCTGGTGAGCAGTTTTGCGTTTGCATCTGACGGACACCACTTTGCAGGCTGTGGCTGAGCTTTGTGATTTGGGTCGAACAAGCGAAAATATGAAATTTAAAGGAAGAGCGATCCAAGTCGAAGCAGTTGGTCCTCATTGGATTGCTATTAGAAGTCCCTGTTTATCGAAATCGTCACATTTAACTTTGTTATTTGAAAAATGCAGCAGCTTTTTACTAAATTGTGAAAGCGGTTCACCTAAATCCAACCTAGGTTCTTCTCCGATCATGTTACGGAATTAGTGGTATTAGACATTGTACGGGTGTAGTATTTCCTTGTGAAGAATATCACAGTGCTAAAAAGGTCTTCATGTGGGTGGGCAATGTACAGCGTACGCTCAAATCTGATCAACTACTTATTGAAGAGGGTCTAATTTCTTACTCCATCAATTAATCAAGTTCGAAGACTAGAAAAATAACCATGCCAAATGTCAAGCAGACATCCAAAAAAGTTTTACACGTTCACGCACCTACTGGTGCTTCACCTGATTTGCTATATCTGCTTCCGATTACAGGGCCTCTTTGTTCTGTCTGATCGTGCACTGTAATGATTTTCGGATGAACTTTACTGGCACCGTTTCATGGTCATACGCAGGAAATTACACTTCAACAGTGCGATTACCGTTTGGCGTCATCACGATTATTTAGCACGAGGTGCCGCGACTCTAACGAGGGGTCGATACTGTTGCTGGCTAATTAGAAGCGGAAATATATTTCTATAGCTGCTGGCTTGTTCATCCATCCACTGCATTTTGGCATAGCCTTACGCAAATGGTACTCTATGGGGAAACAACGGACGGTAAGGTTCAAAAAAGTTACGAGAGAATATTATAGGCTGTGTGGATGAGCTTCAGCCACAATAGGAGCATTTCTACAGTGTACAGCACGAAAATAGACCTTCCAACGAAGGCCGGCGGTGGCAAATGCTAATTAAGAGATTTATAGAGGCACAGGCGTGAAAATGCCAACAATCAAAGCACAAATCTGAAAAAAAGCAGCCGACTGCCAGCTGACGCCGCTGGTTTAAAGCCTCAACAGATTCAATGATTTTCGTCCAACCAGTCCCAACGACATTTAACAAGCCTAATCCACTATGACGATCTCTCATTATGTTTTTCGTCTCAGCTCCGAGCAATTACAGCCCTGCCGTTACGAGGGCCAGCCGCTACTTTTTATCGTTTCTATTCCAATAATTCGGCAGCTGTGCTAGCCCTTTAATCAATTGTTCCCTTTTCATTCTCTAACAAAACAGCCAGACTCTGATACATAGCCAAGCACTCAGAGGAGCACATATAGACACGCATACACACCGATAACCAGCCTTTATCAGACATACGTACGTGCCCTTGCACACAGATATATTGGCGTCATTAGCGGTTATAGTCCTATTCGGATGCATTGCCTGGTCGATGCTGGCCGGACCGACAAACAAGCCCTAGAAAGCGTCTGCTGAATGGAAAAACGAAGCAGATTCGTCACCGGGGATACCGGTGAGACAGCAGACATCTGCAAATGAAAATATCAAAGCCCTCACAAGAAATAGCCATAAAAGCTTGGACCAAGCGTGGACCACGTCTGGGCTTTTTTCTGCTGACAGCTATCCGGGCGCGTATACTACTGTACAGTCCTTTGAAAACGTTTAATGTAGGGAAAATTTTAATACTGATTTTCTTCTTTTTTTTTTTTTTTTTTCTTTTTTTTTTTGCTGAGTCACACAGATATGAATAACTAATCAGCCCGACTGGGTCTCACACATTTCAGTTAACTGTAGAAAAATTAACCGTGAATTAACTCTCTACGCCAGATTTAGAAGAAAAGGCAGATGGGCTATGGAAGTAGGAGCTCGTACGTCGCAGCAATGACAAGCTAAAACAGTTTCTCTTACCTAATCTCCTAAAGTAAAATTAAACTAACGTCCGATATAAAAGACTGTTAGACGTGGCAGTGCCCTATGCAACTCATAGAAATTTCACATGCTCCAAATGTAAGTAACCATGGGGAGGATTATTTTCTTAAAAGGCTATTTTAACCATGAAAGGGTCATTATAGAGCATCATGCGACATATAATATAGTTGTTCTTATTTGATGCTAGTTGGGGATAGTTTAGCAGATGAGCGTGGAGGAATGTAATTTTAGTTGCAATATTTCGTTGTTCTCACCGGGACGGACAGTAAAGCTAGACGAAGAGAGAAAGCCAACGAGCTGGTTGTAGTCTTCGTCGAAGGCATTAGTGTCTGTTAGGTTACTCAGGCAGAAGGGAGGCTACGTAAAGAAAGAATGAACATTTTCCTTCATAAAAACAAGGGAAATCTATCACGTAGGTGAAGACAAGGAAACAGCTAGTCAAAGCAACAATAAGGCCGAAATCCGGTTCAGGTGCAGCAACACGGACGTTGTTCTAGTAAACCTGGCCCATTTGCCTACTACAGGAGGCCGACGATGTCGAAATAATTAGCAAATACCGCTTTGGTCGCGTTTAAGAGAATGCAAAGAGGGCTAGGGCCGACCTGCATCGGTATAACAAAGGATGGAGCTAATATATGAATAGCAGTACTAGCAGTAGCGTTTAAAAAAGCAATATAGACAAGAATACCAGCCGTCTGAAGATTGCGAGTGCAATGTCATTGATGCGCACGGCACCCAAGAAAACGGCAAGCAAGCACAACCATAATAGTAGCTTATTTAGCTAGCAAAAGCATCAAACAAATCAAAAGCTTGGGTTAGCGCGACCGAGGCTAGACACAAGAAGCTTATAAATAAAAACAATGCCTCAACAACATCATCATCAGCAGCACCGGGACACAAAGATCAACTAACTTTCAAGTCCATCTCTTAAGCTTATCCCATTTCTGACCCAGTCTTCTTAATTCGCGGTCATAATTAGTAAGAGTAGAGAACAAAAACCCGAGAACGTAAGGCTGAGAGCTGGGACCATTGACTGTGGCGCTAGCATGATTACCATCGGCAGCCGTAATAGCGTTCTCTCAATGACATCCGCGATGGAATCGGAGTCGATAGTACTAATAGGAAAAATCGTAGGAATCTAAGCGACAAAAGAACTTCTGGCAATAAAGCGCGCGCTCTGTATAATATCTACATATATCACTACCCCTTCAGCCAGACGAAATGAGACTTAGGAACAGGCTGGTGCTCACAGGCTGAAGCTAAATATAAATTCTCGTACAGCTCTCACCAATTAAAAACTGGTCGAAATCACCACTAGACGAGAAATAAAAATAAGTAGCATATGTGGGCGTATTATTAGCTTGAAAAACATAGATCTAGAAGCACTGTTTTTTGAGAACATACTTCTCATTGAAACAAATGCCGAAGGACCCCCTCAACATGGGACAACTGTGATCTTCTTAACTCGAGCAATTTAAAAGCAGTTCACAACATCATTTACGAACGCAGCACATGACGGAGTTCTGACACCCAGTGCACTAGCTATCGCTAAGCAGCCCGCTATTTGCCTCTAATAGTGATACGTTTGTTCCATTGTGCATCCCATTTCATAAATGGTCCTCATTTCACCGACGCATCACCGGCTTCAAAAGACTTCACCCTCGCTGTCGCTAGACACAACAACTGCAAGACTTGTTGGCTGACTCACTTGCGCGGCCACGCCACCTTTTTTGGCCTCCGCGAGGGTATAAACACCGTCGGCCTCCGCAAAGCCATAAACGCTCACACGGTGTCGGGCACTTCCAGGGATCGCGGACTGTTCATGATTATCGTCTTACTGGAGAGAACAGTTTTCAAGACTCCTACATTTCGACATCGCCCCGTGGTGTTCACGAGGATTTATGACGCTGTGTCATCCATGCATAGACGTTTCCGCAGTGACCTTCTTTTGACCTTAGTCACTTGTTTGGATCAAGAGATCAGCTTTTAAGCGTGGTCTTTGTTAGACGTGCACAACGTCGTGCATCGAAACAGGCTAACAAAAGGCCAATTAAGGGAATGTCGCGCACTTACATACCATACAGATACGTGATGACATCTAGCCTTAATGCAGCAGTAGGTTCATTTCAATTGCAAGTTAGCACAACAATGGAAAGGCTGAGAGGATGGCCCACCCGCGTGTCGGTGGTAGCGACTATAGTGCAAGTACCAAATTGCCCTCCTTTTGTTACTGCACTTTTATTCGAGAGGAAAAAGTGCACCAGATTGCCAATTTAATGATGGTGCCAAGTTCCGAACAAAGAGCTGTACGATCTGGTCGTACAGCTCGGTGCAACTTCGCCATTATCTGCATTAAAATAGAAGCGATGTATGCTTAATAAAAACCCCAGACTGCCTTTTTTGAACAATATCCGTGTCCTCTGCTTCCGTTGCTGCTAGATAGAATACGGTGGCAGAATACCGAAAAAAAAAAGTCTCTTCGAATGAAACGTGTGAACATAGTGGAAAGTTTCGTGCTGCAGAATTGATATACTTTCCGAAACACTTCTTTATTCGATGTGCTTTTAGCGTTAATAGAATTCGATGAGACCCAACAATGTTAATAAAAAAACAAAGTTTGATCGAATTCAAACGGCAACGTACGTTCACCGTTCGTTTCTATCACACAAGGCGAATGGTAGTATTCATTTTATATATTTTTAAATTTGGCGCTGATTCATTATTAAGCGTTCGAAATTTTCACAGAACTGTTCGACCCGGCCTCGTTTTCCCGAAAGAAAACGTCAATGAAGTTATCCATCTGTTTTGAGGTGGCCGATTTCGATCAGATTCTACAAGTGTTTATTAAATTACTTATCCCTGATTAATATATATATGTGTAAGCATAAACCCGTAGCAGACTCGAGAATCGAAGACATGCTTTCACAACCTAAGGCAAACTCATTAATTTTGTATGCTTTTCGTCTATTTTCTCGTTACAACATGTCGCAACTAGTGGATACGCATTTTCCATAAATAATCAGTTATATGCTGCAAATACAAAGACGTAGGGGCATTTACCGAAAAAAAAAAAAAAACATATAGACAATGAAATAACACGAAGACTGCTTTGGAAGCAAGGAACTGCCCATCCACAGCTGTTGCTAACTGCTTGGCTTTCATTATTTAAAATCAGCTTCTACGAGTTCTTTCACCTCGTGTTTCGATAATTCACCTGGCTTTATATTACCGCAGCTGTTTTTCCCCCGCAGTTGTTACATTGATATGAGGCCGTCCTACATTTGCGCTCCTGTGTGAGCCCTGCTGGTGATACATAGAAGCGATCAATTGGCTAAAGCGGGCTTTAACCGATCAGCCACCGTCCTTACCAGGACCCTTCGGAAAATAAATCGATATTAATAATACCTCGTGTTCAGGTGCAAAGCCATAAAAATCAAGGAAACACCTATGGCTGGGTCGCATTCAATAACAGGTCATCAATAACAGAATGAACTAACCAAGTAAACCTTGCTACGTACAGCCTTATTACTCTATACGCCTTACGTCACCGACACACATATTAGAGCGTCTTAGAACATGTGGACAAAAAACGTGAGCGTTTAACGTACTCTTAGATCCGCGAATTTCGATGCCAACTAGCACTACGGCCGTTATACGTCGGCACTGCGTCGCCTGCCGATTCGTCTGCAGAGTGAAGTACAGATTTATCCGTTCTCGGTCGTTCAATGTGTATCAGTAAATGCGGCGGAAGCTATATACATAGATGCATATCTATGCGCCCACTGTCTCTCTCGTGGGCCCCGCTGCGAGGGTCGTATCCGTTGTGTGAATATGTCAATGCTCGCCCGCGGCAAGGTTCCACTCAGTCAGGGGGATACCACCGGGCACGCGTCCAGCCGACGGCCCGCTCCGTAGGGAATCGACCGAAATTAAGGAACGCGACGTCGGACTATTAGTTCAATCCTCTAGCTATTACGCACCATGGCTCGATGGAGGACGTTCGCTCTGCGCACCAGCAACGCACGTGGACGCCTTGGGCAGTACCTGTGTATCTAATTTATATATGTTTTGACTGGTGGTCACTCCCAAATTTTTGGCTGGAGAATTGACCAACTTCTATCCACTATCGACTTGATCTGTGCTTATCCTGGAAGTAGACGAACCCATATGTGCAAAATGGGTATAGCAAAAGTTTTAATTAAATCTTTTAGCAATGTCCAGCCGATTCGAGATAGTTAGACGTGAGCATACAGAAGTAATGGGAGCGTTATATGTTTTCTTCTACCTTTTGTACATATGTATACAAATAAATGTAGGCAGACAAAGCAGGTACAGGATACGTTATCAATGTACTTTTCGATACACTGTTATCATTAAATATCAATATGGTGTACATACAGGAATATGAGAAGTTCATTATCTGTGAACAGCTATGTAATTATCTTATTTATAACTGGAAAACTTATTTATAACTGGGAACTGTATTAGCTCCCCGTCCCGTCAATGCACATAGGTTTATTAATGAAGCTACTATAATCGACGGTGATATTGCATTCAAAGGTGTCGTAATAAACCTCGGAGCAAGATGTTTAATCGATATATGGAGTTTCTCGGGCAGTCACTCAAAACTTTATCGTGCATCGAAATATCCATTGAGTGCAAACACATCGCACTGACCCTTTAAAATATGTAATGCATATCTATCGGCTTCATCGATTTGTCCATCACCAGCCTGATTGTTGGTCAACTTCTCAAACTACAATGATAAAAAATGGTAGAATGGTAAAATACTTGTTTACTTCATACGCTTTACCGATAGCTGCTTTCGGCAATTCCTCATTGCCGTGAATGAACTGTGAGCAGATGTTTCATCTGCCATTGAATAGCCGGAACGAGACCAGACGTCAGGAGTGATAAGAACGGTGAGCCTGTATGCACCAAGATGTACTTATACGTGTATCACATACTTGAGAAGTATGTATGTGTGGGTGGGCGTGGGTGAAACATCAGCCTTCCATTTTCCTTTGCAAACCGAATGATTACCCCCCGCAAGATTTCTTATGCTCCTGTTAGATGTGCCAGGCCTTTCGCACTTTTTGTAGAGACGATGACGCGATATGGCAAGAAGCGCGCACTATACAAGTTAGCGAATAGAGATGACTACGAATCGATACGACCCCATTTTGTGCGCCGTTATTGCGGCGGCGGCGGCGGCGGCTGCTGCCACTGACTGGGCTGGGTCATGCCAACAGTGATGGTAATTATATATATGTACACATGTCTGTATGAAAAGGAGACGCAGAAAAAGTTGTCTGTACTTTTAAGCTTGCGGATGCAGTGCTGGAAAAGAAGTCAGAAACGGGGTGTCTACGCGTTTGCGCCCCAGAAAAATTGGCAGCATCGCCAGAAATATGGCCGTACGTTGAAGCGTATGTATACGTACAGTATGGTCGCTCAGGTTCGGTCGCTTGCAGTTTGTGAGGGCCGCTTATGCAACTAGTTGCGGAGACGGGAATTATCTGTTAGGAACATGTCGCCGGTCTCTACCTCGCATCCGATGAATGAACGCGTGTACTAGCTTAGATTAGTAGTGCTGAATTGCTAGGGCGGAAAACGAGCTTGTGCGCCTGACCGGAATTAAGTTGGTATTAGCAAACCTACCTATCTATGTTGTTCGACAGGGCCAGCAAAAGAAAGAGATAAACTTATGGATGGCGACGAGATCAGCGTTAGCGTCAGAGCTGTCTCTGGGATCCTGAGCACTGTGGTCGGGACGGTGAACGCAAGGCAAGCAACGACTACATATCCGAAACGTCCTCATAGATGAGCGATGGTACATAATATGCGATGTTGACTCCAACTAGCAATCGGATTACTAGAAAAAATACGTAAGCTTTACTGTGCAGATGGATGTAACCTACACTATCACACAGTGCGCTTTCGATGAGCTTGTCTTGCTGAGGAAAGCGCAGGTAGTGAAGAGCGAAGCTCTGCAGAATAACTACGTTCGATTTTGTCGCTTAGCGATTAGGCTGGTGTCTGATCGCCGCCTAGACATCTATGCTCAACCTGCTAACAACCGTTCCTTTTAATGCACCTTCAATTTCTCACGAAACGTTCTAAGTTACTTTTATGTTGGCAAATGAACGCCTCTGTTCACCCTAACTATGGATAGGTCATAAAACCGAGCGGCAAAAAAGAGATCTTCTTTCGCATCTATCCCTATTGAATGAAGAAAGTCTCTAAAATCATTCATGTCCTCCAACGTGCTATATGTACATATTAAATAATTGGGGTAGCGTAAATAATAGA